AAAATAACTGGAACTAGAAATGCATCCTGAAGATGGAACTGAAGTAATGCAAACTGACGATGAAACTTTAATGAATGCGGAGTGACTTCTTATGAATGAGTGAAGTACGTAGTCCCTTGAGAGAGGATCTATTCCCAATGAATATACTGTGAACTTTGTTGAAGTGACAACAAAACACTTAGAATAGCACATCAAGTTAATTGATAAAGCAGTGGCAGGATTTGATGGATGCGCTTCAATTTAGAAAGAAGTTCTACTGCGAGTAAAATGCTATCACACATCATTAAATGTTACAATGATACTGCAAACTTCACTGCCACCTTGTTTTATGTACTGACCACAGTCATCCCAGTGTTTAGCGGTCACCACTCTGATCAGTCAGCAGCCATCAACATGGACGTGAAACTCTCCATTCAAGAAACATGGACTAGCTGCATACTTGGAGGATGGGTAGCATTTCTCAGAAATAAGGTATTTTAAAATTAAGGTATGTACATTTATTTTTGGACATAATGTGATTGTACACTTAATACAGTGTCATGTAAACATAACTTTTAGGTGCACTGGGAAAACTAAAAATCTGTGCGACTCATTTAATTGCTGTAGTCTAGAATGGGACCCACAGTATCTCTGAGGTACGCACAGAGAAATCTTCACTGCATAAGCTCATTCCTGAAGGAGCTGGAAAACTCCTTAAAAGTGTTGCATATTTTTATTCAGGACTATCTCGACTTATCCCCAACAAACAGCAAATGCCTAAACTGATGTTTCTCAGTTTTCTTTTGAAGTTTGGGTATAATCAACTTTCAGAGGACATCTCCACACGAGAAATTTGTTATTGAGAAAACCAATAGGTGCTGCTGTTGTGAAGAATACCTGATTTTCTGTCTTTCCTTTTTAATTGTTTTAAGGTGCTAGGGGGCATGTGTACTCACTAGAGAGGGACAGAAAGAGAGACAGAAAGAGAGAGAAGAAAGAGAGAAAGTAACAAAGCACCCCAAGGAGGAGGACCATACTGTAATCCCTTCTCCTCCATTCTCTTTTTTGGGATTTTGCATAAGCACATGCATGTACCCAACTTGCTTTTCAAGTCACTGGGTCTGGGACTCAAATCCTATAGTCAGTCATGTAAGATCCACCTGGCTTAACCACCAGGGCATGGCCTGGCCCCCTCCTGTTCTTTAAGTCACATGTTAGATATCACTTTTTCCAGGAAACCTAGTAGAGAGTGGGCTTCAGATGTGGGTTGAGATGAACTGAACTGTATTAGTCAGTTCATGATGCTATAACAAATACCGCAGACTCAATGTTTTCCACAACAGAAATCTATTTACCTAGAGGCTGGGAAGTCCCAGATCGAGGTGCTGGTTGACTTGACTCGCGGTAAGGGCTCTCTCCCTGACTTACAGATCCTTTCTATATTCTCACACGATGGAGACAGTGAGAGAATGAGATCTTTCTCCTTTTTTTGAGAGATTTTTGTTAGAGGGTGCGTATGTTCACTGGAGAGACAGAAAGAGATAGACACAGAAAGTGAGAAATCATCCCACAGGGGGGATGGCCACAGCGCAATCTTTTCTGTTCTATTCTCCTCTCAGGATCTTGGATATGAACGCATACACGCTCGGTATGAATTTTAAGCTGCTGGGTCCAGGAGTCGAACTGTAGTTGGCTACGTGGGAGTCCAGCAATGTAGCCATTACACTATTTGCTGGTCCCTCTCTCTTCTTATAAGGTTATAGTCCTGCTGTTTGGACCCCATCCTATGACCTCACTTGACTTTGACTACCTCCTGAAGACAAGATATTGTCACATTGGGATTTAGGACTTCAGCAAATGAACTTAGAGGATGACACGGTTCAGCCCATAGGATTACCCATTATTAAATATGGCAGGGTGTATCTACCTAGTGGACCTGACCTGACTTTAAGACCGTCTGAGCGAGGGCAGTTTTATTGAACCAGGTAGTGCTGCAGGACTCGGTGACACCTGGAACCACCCAGTCACTGCAATTGTGCCCAGAAAGCACCTTCCTTCCTATCGTACTTCGGGTTGTTTCTAATTTTCTGTAAAAGTCAAAAGGTTTTGGGAGTTATTGAAAATTATTCTTATTCTTATCGAGTTGTCATGGGGCCTGAGAGCCTTTCTCTCTCCTAGCTACAAGACAAGCAGCAAGGAGCGAGAAGGAGGCAGAAGGCAGACTTCAGCAATTTCCTACCTATTTGCCTTCCATGATTCTATCACATCAGGCGGGATCTTCTCAGTTTACAGGTATAGTCAGGAGTGAACTGGTGCAGCTCTGCCCTGCAACCTGACCTGCGCCAGACGGGATGGGAAACACCCAGTGGAGGCAGTAGGAGTTCCAACTTTGGGAAGGTCAAGAATGTTAGGATGAGGGTTAGGCACAAAACCACATAGAGTATGAGAGAGGCAAAACAGCAACACACACGAGGTGTGGGCTTTGCAGACAGCCTGGCTTGAGTTGAAGACTATGTCTGCGTCTAACTGTGTGACTGGGACATAACACTTAGGACCCCAGCTCCAGGGTCTTCCTCAGCAAAATGAGGGTCTCCTATAAGGATGTTAGGGCTTGAATTAACTGCAGGAAAGGCTAAGGTAGTACCTGGGAACCAGGAGCAGTGACTAGTGAGTTCACACTGTTGGCAACGTCCTCTGCAATCTCTGGTAATTTAGGAAGAAACAGAAAACCCTGCTTGTCACAGTTTGAAGTCATAAAAGAAATGATTGTGAGCAACAGAGAGGACATCTGGGCTTTGGGGGAAGTATCTTAGCGAATCTGAGACTTAGAATGACCCTATTTCTGTTGGTTTACACACTGGCTAAGCTCCTATGATGTGTATCAGGTATTATAAAAAATATAAAAAATAAATATGGCATTGTTCATTGCTAAGATGCTCAGAATTGAGTAGCGTGGACAGTTTTGTAAGCAAATAGGTGAAATAACTGTCATGTGATGGCAGTTCTTACACAGAAAACACAGCTGTCTCTGCTCTCTAATTCCAAATCTTGTAGGGAATATTGAGGTGAACTCTTCTTTTCCAATGCTCAGATCTGACGAATTCCATAGAGTACATCATTTTTAAAACTCCCAGCTCAGTTTTATGAAGATCAGTCCCACATAGGTGTTCCTAACTCAAGTTACTTCAGAAGTCAGAGAAGCACTTGGATACAGAACCACAAGGGCTGCTACTACTTGAGGTAAACTAGGAAACAAGAAATCTCCTTACAGGTGTTCAAGTTTCATAAAACACCATGCTCTCCAAATAAAATATCTTGGAGAGTCCGACTTGTCCTGTAAGTTGCTTGTTTTCAAATTCAAGTCTAAATGCTACCAAGACCATACATGATGTGTTTATTCAGCAACACATCACACATTGGCTATGCATGGAGAATGGCTTCTGGAAGGAAGACTGGATTCTCTGTTATAGACTGAGTAGTAGCCCATATCTAGCTCTTGTCTCCTTCTGGGCACATGAAAAACTTGCACTTCCTTGCCCTCCTTCAGTTAACTGAGGCTATTAGTTCTGGCCAGCACTGAGTGTAAGGGACATGGCCTTTCTAAGTTCGAGCTTTGAGCCATTGAGACAAGGTTCCATAATATTGCTTTTCCTTCCATGATGAGCACAGAGGAGGCCTCATGTTGTGATGACAGAGAACAGAGACAAAAGACACCTGAATCAGCCAGGCTTACAGGGAGGGTAGTGTTGGAGAGCCAGTCTGGTCATAGCAAACCACGTGTCTGTGATGGTCCTCATTCTGAGATGATTTGTTACTGAAGCATCAGCCTATCAAAATTCTCCCTTAGACATAGCACTCAGTGTTTCCAAGGCTAATGACAGAGGTATGATTTCAATAGGGGATGGGGGGGTGGGGTTTGGACTCATAGTCTAACTTCATCATGTTGACCAAGGTTTACGTTCTCCTTGGGGATAGCTCCGTAACTGGTAGAATCGGGTACTCTTGGCCTCAGAAAGAATGAGCCATTGTGTCCTAATGGTGGACATGCAATTCTTCTAAGACTATGTGATCCTTAAGGGCAGAGAGTGTATTTTAGCAACTAACCATTTTTATACTCTCAAGAATATGGCAAACACTATGTTAAGTGCATTGTATGGCAAAAACAAAACAAAACAAAACAAAAAAACCTCTTACAAAAACCATGTAAGAGACATAGAATTATCCTTCATCGTATCATTGACAAAAACAAAGTTGGGAAAGTCTGAGTAGCAAGACCACATACACGGCTAGATATTGATGACCCAGTGTTTTAGCATGTCCTCTGTGGCTTAATAAGTAGAGTCCTGAGACTGGGTAATTTATAAAGAATAGAGGCCCATTCAGCTCATTGTTTGGAGGCTCAAGGTCAGGAGGTCACTTCAGGGGAAAACCTGGTGGGGGCTCACTGTGGAGCCCTGAGGCAGCACATGAAGAGACAGAGCAAGGACAAGAACGTGTGTCCATGTGTGTATCTGCATGTCTGCTCTTACAAAGCTGCCAGGAACAATTGTGGGGGCCCACCTTGATGATCTCATCCAATCTGTCACCTCCCAAAGGCCCCACCTTTCAACACCATGAATGGGTTGTCTCCAATCTCTCAACCCCATTATAAGGGCCCACCAGTTTTTAAAGCACACATTTCTGGGGAACATATTCAGGTCATAGTGCCCTGGGTGTCTTTGGCACCAAAGTCAGAACCACATTTAGAGAGACAGTGGTGCTTCTTCCCTGTTCTTCATGGCTTTTGACCCACCTTTTCTTATTCATGGCTTGAGACCCAGCTTTCATATTTCCTGGTTTGTCTGTTAATCTGCAGAGCCTGCTCATCTCTTGAAGACAAGTCATGCGAATGTGCATCTTCTGTAGGAAAAGGGTGCAGCCTTATTCTGGGACTCAGTGATAAGAATAAGTTCCCAGAAATACATCCCAATATATCCAACAGTCACATGAGATATCAAATAAAATGCAAAGGAAAGACAAAGGAAATTGGGACAGATAATCGCGAATACAACTAATGGAGAAAGGACGAGAAGAGGAGGACGTAGCAGCCTCTTCTCCTGCTGTTGAATGCAGCAGTGTCACTGCAGCCTGCAAATGTTCTGGAATTGCAGAGAGCACAGCACGGGCAGAAAGGTCAGTTAACCTGGAGGAGTCATGGGGCTGTTCTCAGAAGAGTCAGCACTGAACTCAGGTTTGAAATATGAAGAGGTTTTTCCCAGGTTGCTAAGATGTAGAGAATGTTTGTCTGTTTGGTGTATGTGTGTGTGTGTGTGTGTGTGAGAGAGAGAGAGAGAGAGAGAGATTGTTGTACTGTTATTGTTGATGGAGGTGGTAATGGTGATGTGAAGGGGTGTGTGTAGGTGTGTAGAGAAAGAAGTTTTTACGTAATGCCTGTATTTTAAGTAGATGAAATAATCCAAAACTAGGAATACTGAAAGTCCCAGAGAAAGTTAAATGCAAACAAATAAGAAAGTGGTTCTCAGAAACAAACAGCAATGAAATGCATCAGTCTCTACTGGCCTTCTAAGCCTGTCTCTAAAGTCACTTGGCCCTGTCTGGCTCCCAACCATCCTTCAGGATTTTCTGTCCTCACTGGGTATCCAAGGCCTTCAGATCCTGCCCGTGCTCACATACCGCCTTATCTCTAGAACACAAACCCACTGTCCTACTGAACCAGAGCACCTGTCAGGACAATGGTCTGCGCTTCCTCTTTCACAGTCTGGTTGGGGCTTGCTTCTCCTTCTTGTTGTCTTAGGCTGGGTTCCCTGGGAAACAAACTCTGAGATGGAGCCCGGCTGTCAGGAGACACCCTTGAGAACAGTGCCTGGGGAAGGAAGACGGAGGGAGGCAGAGGAATGAGGACACTGTTGCAGGACTGCAGTACTGCCAGACTAGGAGAGCCCTGTGGTTGCCCCAGGTGAGACAAGCGGGCCAGGCCTTCACCCAGCATGGGCTGATCAGAAGAAACCTGGGGCGAGGCAGCTAGCCCTGGTGGAGGTGATTCCTGGAGGTGCCCTCTGTAGCCAGTGCTCTCAGTTGGGGTTGTGAGAACCTTGGTTTCACAGGCGAATGCGCTCTCATGTCTGAGACTGTGTGAGCACTCGCTTTACCTGCTGTCGTGTTTCAGCTCTCTCTAAAAACGCAGGACATATGAATTATTGCTTCTCAAAACCAGTTGATAATGCATGCGTTTACACTAGACTATGCTGCAGTGACCACCTCTAAAGTTTCAGTAGCTTCACACACATAATTACATGTTCTCTATACAAGGGCCCACCAGTTTTTAAAGCACACATTTCTGGGGAACATATTCAGGTCATAGTGCCCTGGGTGTCTTTGGCACCAAAGTCAGAACCACATTTAGAGAGACGGTGGTGCTTCTTCCCTGTTCTTCGTGGCTTGAGACCCAGCTTTCATATTTCCTGGTTTGTCTGTTAATCTGCAGAGCCTGCTCATCTCTTGAAGACAAGTCATGCAAACGTGCATCTTCTGTAGGAAAAGGGTGCAGCCTTATTCTGGGACTCGGTGATAAGAATAAGTTCCCAGAAATACAGCCCAATATACCCAACAGTCACGTGAGATATCAAATAAAATGCAAAGGAAAGACAAAGGAAATTGGGACAGATAATCACAACCTATCAAGGGACAGCCCGAAGATTCAAGCTGATTTTGTCTTGTGGCTCTGTCTTCTCAATACGTGGCTATCTGACTACCATGAGCGGGACGGACCAGGTAGTGGGTCTTGAATGGTTTCTCACTGCCCTAGCCCAGAGTGAGGTGCTGCCCAGGAGCACAGTGAGTCACATGACCCAGCCTAACTGCCAGAGGGCTGCAATTCTAGAGAGGCACACACCGGGTACTTAGTGAACACTGTCTGCCCGACTGATGAAGATAATTTAATCACTCAACATTTTGTCAAGCCATAGGGTCATGTTTCATCGATTCCTACAGAGCAGTAGGGTAATAAAAAGTGAAAAGACCTCCGAATTAGCCAAGAGCCTTGAGTGACAGTACCATTCATGTCACTAGCTGGCAGTGGTTTTGGAATGGACATGAGCCTCTTCAAACCTCAGTGTCTCCACACGGAAAAGAAAATATTAAACAAGATTTTCTTTCTGGTCCTTTTGTATGTAAATGCCTATGCAGAATCTACAGCATTTGCCTTTGAGCTGTAGGGAAGTCTTGGTCAGCACAGAGCGGTGGAAGACAAGGTCATTCGCTCCCTTCCACCATATTTATGAAGTGCCTGGGACTGGTCCTGCCGAGGCTCTGTCCGGTGGAGAGCAAGCTAGCTAACATTTCTGCTCTGTGGTAGAAGGTCAGGAACAAAACATTTACATTTTTGTTAGCATTAACTTTCCCCTTTATCATTGTTTATTTTCCCACCTCGTATGGCACTTTCTATCACGATGTTTGCCCTCTGAATTGCAGTTATTCTTGGCAGCAGGTTAGGAGGTACTTGTGTTAGGGGATCAGCAGTTGGCATAATAGCTACGTCGCTGGACTCCCATGTAGTCAACTGCAGCTCGAGTCCTGGACCTGGTGGCTTAAACTCATGCTGGGCATGTGTGCATGCATTCCCAAGATCTGAGAGGAGAATGGAGGAGAAAGGATTACTGCATGGCCAACCCCCGGGGTGGGGGGAGTGAGCTCTCACTTCATGTCTGTCTTTCTGGCAAGAGCATGTGCCCTATAGCAAAAACCTCTCAAAGAAAAAAAAAAAAGAAGAAGAAGGTGCTTGCATTAGTTTGCTGAGCCTGGAAAAACAAGGTACCAATCGGAGGGCCGAGGTGGCTAGGATGTCTTGCCTCACGGTGCTGGAGGTGTGTTAGGCCTGATTCTCCAGAGAAACAGAACCAAAGGATATATATTTATATATGTATACATGACTTCAGAAAGCTTGTGAAAAATGGAATTAAAGTATCAGTTTATTTTGGTGCAAAAAAATTAAATTCATGCATAGTTTTTTCATAATATACATTTTCCCATGAATTTTATGAAGACCCCATGTACGTTATATGTCTATATATGTACGTATTCACATATACATGAAGAGATTGTATCTGTATACATAAATCCCTGTATATGTATGTGTTTATATAGCTAAGATGTATATGTACCTGCATGCACATGAGAAGATGTATTATGAGTATTAGCTCACGTGATTATGGAAGCCAATAAATCACATTATTTGTTGTCTGTGAGCTGGAGACTTTGGAAAGCCAGTGATGCGACTTAATCCAAGGCCAAAACTCAGAAAATGGGAGTATGGTGGGGAAACATTAGCATAAATCCTGGAGTCTGAGGCCAGTGAAGCAAGAGCTCTGATAACGGAGGGTAGAAGATGACGCTCGGGTTTAAGCAGAGAGTGAGTTACCTTTCTGTCTTGGCCCTATGGATCAGGTGATGCACCTCAGTAAGGTGAATCCTCCTACCCAGTCTGCCAATTTGTCCTCTTTTGAGGACATGCCATGGCCTAGGAAAGTTGCCACCTGCAGCTAACCAGTGCAGGGAGCTAGACATCCAAGACCCAGCTGTGAGCAGGGCTGGTTCCCTCTGAGGGCTGTGATAGAAGAGTGTTCTGGACCTCCCCCTAGCTTCCGGAGGTTTGCTGTTAACTTTTGGTGTTCCTTGGACCATGGAAGCATCACCCCAACCTCTGACTTTCTTTCCTGACTTTCTTTGAAGCCACTTGAGGACAATGTCTCTGCATTCCGTCTCACATAGATGCTAAACCCACTGAAGAGATGTGTGACATGCTGAGGAGGCGAGAGAACATGAGAAGGCCTTGGAGGGCAGGGACAGAAGAATGTGGTCTTCCTGGGGAAGATCATAAGGTAGCAGAGACGTAGCCCATTTCTTGGAATGGCCCCAGGAAGGCTGTGCAACTCACCTGTGGGCCTGTGTGCTCACCTGTTGGCCTGTGCGCTCACCTGTGGGCCTGTGTGCTCACCTGTGGGCCTGTGCGTGCACCTGTGGGCCTGTGCACATGCAGAAATGCAGCACACAGCCTGCTTCCTAGACACACTCAGGAGTCACAGATGGTCTGAGATGACAGGTTACAGCCCACATTCCTGGCCCCTCGGAAGCCCCCTGCTTCTGCGTGTCCTTACGGACAGTCAGCATGAGAACCGACTGTTCCTTTCTTGCTACTCTCTAGAAATATGAAATTAATTTTTTAAAAATTAAAGAAATGGTGCATTTCCTGTGCTTATAGAATGTATGGTTACAAAGTCACATAAGCTCCATTGTCTATCTTATTATTTTTTAAAATTTAAGCTGTGAGTGAGTCTTGAGTTTCCCTCAATTTTGCATCTAAGGGAAACTTCAGGATGGATGTCATTTCCCAGCCTCTGGACCAGGTCTGGTGGTGCTGATTCTCTGGCCTGCTGCCCACCTGCTGTAGAATGGTGCCCACAGTAGGTCACCACAGAGACACTTGCTCAACAAGGCAATGGCACGCCACATTCCTTAGACCCAAACACTTGGCAACCATGGGTATCTTTTAACATGGGCCTGACATGTAATCTCCTGGCAGATGGTCAGTCAGGACTTTTTCAGGGGCTGGCCGAAGGCCGACCATCATAAGTTAAAATGACCTTGTGAGACCAGGACAGCTGCTCAGAGGCACAGCTCAGATGATTTCACGTGTTATTTACCGAGCACTAACTACGCTCATGGTCCTCTGTGGGAACGCATAGAAAAGTGCCGTCACTATCCTGCAGGCTCTTAAGATCTGAGAATCAGAGAGTAAATACCTCCAAGATGCCATAACTAACACAGATACAAACTAAATATCGCATGAGCTTGGAGATCTGGGGCGGGGAAAGCGATGATGGATCAGGAAGACTTCATAGAGAAAACAGTGTCCAGTGCACTTCGTGGTCTGCTGTGAGTCTGCTTTCCAAGCTGGTACCCTCTTGTCTCCCCAGCCACGATCACATTAACAAAGACAAAGAGCAGGAGGGTGAGCCACACACCTACTACGTTCACACCCAGCCACCACGATTACACAGTCAGGTTAGACTTGGTTTTGCACCTCAACCCTCTTCCTCCAGCCCTGAATGCCCCCGCAGTCCCCACCAGCCTGACGTCTAGACCCCACAGGAA